AAGAAAAAAAAGTTTGTCATCATCCCTATTATTAATAAATTTAGCTTGAAATTCTTAAAAAAATATACATACATATTTTAATTCTTTGCTTTCAAATAATAATACGAGAAATTCTAAAATTAAGTACCTACAATTTGTAAATATTGACTACAAAAGCCACTTAGGAATTCCTTTTAATATTAAGAGACCAAGAATCAAATCAACTTGTTTGATAAATATAAATACACTGCAATGTAATACGTAACAAGAATATGAATAACCATTGGTATGCAATGTTAATAAAAATATTCTGTGCAGGAATATATAACTCAAATAAAAGATATTGCTCCTCGCTAACAATTGTATGCTTTACTTATAAAGGGAATTGTTGCTTCAGTCGAATATCAAAACTCGGAATTAATTCGGTAAAATGAAATTTTGAGAACAGAGAAAAATGAAAGCTGACAGCCGATTATCTCTGCCCTTTGTAGCCCTATTATTGCAAAAGAGTGCTCATTTTAAGGGAGTAAAAATAATTAACGAGTTCAGCTAAATATATTATATTACATTTTCAATAAAAACAAATCATTCCTCGTTATTACTTTTTGAGGAAAGCTTTACCAACTTTTGACAAATTAATATAGTGTATGTTAAAATTGCTTATTCGGGAATGAACTATTTATGAAATTACGTTAATTTTTATGAATAAAGAAATTGAATGACTCATTTTTATTCGTTTTTCGTATTTTCTTTTTTTATGTTATATAAATGTGGGCATAAAAGCCGATGGCTAACCGACAGGAGTATCACATAGTTAGTTAGTTAGTTTTTCAGGGCGGTTTCCGCACTTAGTCCTAATTATTGGACCATTGTGCGTATCAGGAGTATCACATATGCGATGCCTTTTAATTTAAATTACCGATAAATTAAAAGGAGTATCACATATGCGATGCCTTTTAATTTATCGGTAATTTAATTTTTGGCAACCTAAATCTTGGGTTATTCTTGTCGTGTGTGACGCGCGTGACTCGTACCGTTTCAGCCTTTGCTGAGTTACCTTCCAACTTTCATGCTCGTCGGGAAAAGTTGCACACGCATCCCACAACCACACACACGCACACACACATACACACATACACGAGGGCGCGCGTACACACACACACACACACACACACACAAACATATAGATATAGCCGTGTGACGTTCGTGACGCATTTCCGTTCCATCTTGTACATAGGATATTTCCATTTACACCCCATTTAATGTGAATTAGAAATGCTATTCTAATTCACATTTAATGTAATACTCATGTAGCACTATTTATAATACAAAATGTACCAATAAAGTATTCGTACAGCAATTTGGAAATGAAACATCATCGTGACTGATGAAGCGATCGGGTACGATCCAGTTCCGCTACCATGAAAAATAAATGTAATGGAAGTGAAAACCTCTTGGTTTGCCGATATACATACAAATACACATCTACATGTTTGTTAGTCTATCCTTATTTGGATTTATTTTTACTGTAAAAAAATATTTAATTCCCTTATATATTCTAGACGGTCATACTTTCAAAAAACGAGTGTGCTGATGACCACACGACTGAACTGAAACTTCTTTAGTTCCGTCTGGTCACGCCACAAAACGAAAAATTTTCCCGGCGCGGATGAGCGATTATGTACAAGAAAAAAAACACAAAAAATTAGAGGGAAACTGTAGGAAAGGGGGAACCTGATGGTTTGTGGGCCGGTTCCTTTTGATACCTGTTCTTCCCGTCCTAGAAAAATGTTCGCCTGTGGCACGCCACTATTTTTTTTGCACTAATGTTCGCGGGCCCTTGGGCGGAAATATTTAAGTGTATGCGAAAAGCGTCTCTGGAGCGCGGTTTCTTGCGCAGTCATGGGAGTTTTCTCCTTGTATCTCCTCTCGCGGCGATCAGAGCACACACAACCGTTGTTTTTTCTGTCGTCCGTTCGTTCGAAGGACACTGATGGCAGCGCCGCGGATGAAGTTGACAACAGGTGAGTTTAGGGGCAGGGAGAAGAAATATGTGTTTTCACAAGCTTACGATAGATGGTGTTAACAGCATCTGTATTTATATATATGTGTACAATATATACATGTATGTACATTATACATATTACATTTACTAGCTATAAGAGAAAGAGAGAAAGAAAATATGCGCGCGCACTGCTTTTTTTTGCTTATATCCCCCGCTCAACTCCCGTTCGCCTCGCACGAACACACTTTTCGTAATGCGTAACGCATTCGCCAGCTTACCCCCCAAGTCAAGCGTGCCTAAAGAAGTTTCACTTCAGTTATAAGTAAGTGTTTCCTTATTTGGTGACTATTTAAAAAACTTAGACCAAGCCAAGGCGTAGTTTCGTTGCATGTGTGTGCGTGTAACTGTGTATGTACACGGCGAGGCGTAGTTTTATCGGCTTCACTTTTTGGTTCGGCAGACTCCGTCTATACTTTTTATTTGGTCTGAGTTAAAAAATGTATATAAGGTTCCTGTGGCCCTTTGAAATAAGTAACAAAGTACTTAGAACTTACTGGTCAACGGATAATATTTCTAATAGCAATGATCCCTCAGATTAAAAATTAAAAGTACAAAAGGCAGAACGTGCTCAGCAAAGTGAGGTTCGCAACTATGTGAGCGCGACAACGATCACGTACCCAATTATAGATACAGAGTGCATGTAAGATTACCAGATTCGCAATAGGGTATTTGACAAGTTTTTAAAAACGATCTCTCGTTATTGACTAATGTTTATTGAGCCCATCAAAAGTGGATATTCATCATTATGGTGTGTTTTTCGGTAAAAAATACTAAATCAAAAACTCTGTTTTCAAGTTGCCGCGAAAAACGCATCTCTGGCCAATATGGCGTCTCACTGGTGTGTGACGTCACACGATTGTCATTAAAACGTCAAAACATACAAGCTAATGTCACTTAAACCAGAAGTTTACTTGCGTGTGACGTCATTTCAGGCTCCAACGCTTGGGCGTTTGGGTCACGTGACAAAAGACAAGAAAACTATTATCTTTATCGTGGGTTTTTAGTTAAATTATGAATATTTTTTCTGTAAAAATAGTAAAAACTTCTGCCAATATTCATTCTAAATACAGATGCTAAAAATTGGCACTTCATTTTTAATACTGTCAAATACCCTATTAAGAACCCACTTTTTTGTATTGGTCAGGAAAACGTTGTTACTAAAAAAAGTCATATTGTTCTTTTCTTTACAATCACAGCTACGATTAAATAATATGATTAAATTATTTAAACAGTTAAACTGGTCTTAAAAAATGTTCAAGAGAATAAATTATAACATTTATGAAGTATGCACGTAAAAATAAATTATTTAAAACACATATTACCGACATAGAAACATAATAACGTTTGTTTTCCTTTCATCTGATGTATTTTTCCGCAGTGAAGTAAAAAAAAATCACCGTCCAATACCCTATAAAGGTAAAACTGTACTTCCAGGGCCCAAAAGGTGATACTTGTTTTTTTTTGTAGAAAAGGTCTTATTAACAGATTTTTTTTCTGGCGCTTCGCCGGCCGCTGCCGCGGCACGCTCGCTTTGCTCGCTCGGCTCGCTTTGCTCGCTCGGCTCGCGCGTTATGGTCACAATACTAACCTAACCTAACCTAGTGTGAAGTATCACCACTTGATAAGAAAAGTAAAAATTTTCAATATTTTTTTTAATAATGTGGTTAACAGAAACCTTTTTAACAACAAAAATGCGAAATTACAACCAACAAAACTGTGAAGTTTTTACTTTTGGGCCCTGGAAGTACAGTATATCCGTGATCTGAGAGTTATCCCCAACGATATTAAAACCTATCGTTGGTTATCCTTCATTGTTATTTAGAGTTTCCATAGGAATTCTTTGAATTAATAAACCCACGCGGGCGAAGTTGCAGTCCAAGTCTAGCTTATAAATGTGTTAGTTATTGATTGATCGCATCTTAAAGGTGGTAGGTAGGTGATGTCAGAATTCGCAAATATCTGCGAACGTATAGGAAAAAGGTCATGAATGTCAATGAAGCGAAAGATGCCTATGTGTTCCGCGTCTTGACGCGATCAGTTCAACCTGACTGCCTCATTACTCGGGCTACGACGTGGTGATAATATATTATGTATGGAGGTCAAATTAACCTACACGAGAAAATATATTAACGTCCTTCGTGGTGGAATGGCTAAGGAACTTTTCCCACCGCCGAGCGAAAAGCGAGTAGAGCTCGAAGCTAGTGTATTATATGCGTGTGGTAAATTGGGAATAAATGAAACGTCCAACTTACAGCTGTCTCCGTCCGTCAATATAATCCCATAAAGCACATATATACACATTAACAAACAGAAGGCGAAGACGGTTCAAGATATAAAGTCAAAGCACAGCACTAGAAGAAGCCAGTCAGAAAGATAGGCGATAGATAAATAGTTTATAGGAACGAAAAGCACAATTATGTATATAAAGCGTAAATATCTTAGTAAATAAGCGAGCTAAGAGAAGCGTACGCTCTGCGTCGTAGTTTAGTCTCGACTGGTTTGTTTGGTGACAGCGCGGCGGCGCGGCGTGCGCGCATCGCTAGTTCATAAGATGGACAAAAGAATTATGTACAAGACTATCCGCTAGTGCGTAGGGTGTGTCGATAATTGCTATCGATATATCGACAAACCAGTACACCATGATATGTTATGAAAATAAAATATTGTAAATATAATTATAGTACTTAATATTAATTCTATATTAGATATTAATAAATATTAAAAGATATAAGATGTAAATATATACTGTAAGAAAGTCTGTGTTACGGTTTTAAATATAAGTTACTTTGTATTTTGTTATTATGAAAAATAAATAAATTATGCTTTCTGTGTATAGTGTAAATATGGTTTGAGGATGTTCTCACACCTTAAAGTAGCCTACACTGTCCCCGCCATGACCCTACTTACCTGACGATAACGATGACGATGAAATAAAGATAAAAATAACACATCCCACCTGCCACTCATGACGTTGTACAGTATCGGGTTGACGGTAGCTGACACGTAGTAAAGCGCTCCAGCCACGTTGAACAGGTGCTCGTTGATGAGCTGGAACTGCTCCATGCCCTCGCCGTAGATGAAGAACAGGCGCTGCACGTGGAAAGGGGCCCAGCACACAAAGAACGCCACCACCACTGCAGCTGCAATGAAGAGTAAGTGGTAAAATTTACATATACACAGTCAGGTCATAAGTATTGTCATACAGTAAAAACTTTTCTTTTAGAATGCTGGCCACAAAAAAGTTAATAGAATTCGAATTTCGAATTGTTCATGAAAATAAAAATGTATACTTTTTAGAATTTTACTCGTTTTTAAATATGGAGTGGACGCTTAAAGAACACCGTGTTGCAGTTATTGCGTTGCATCGTTGCGGTTACGCGCCAATTCAAATTATTGACATACTGAAAAATTTAAATATAAATAAATAAATAATAAATAAATATTTCCAACACTCACACCAATTAGCCTAGCCCCAAAGTAAGCACTATAAGGCTTGTGTTATGGAATACTAGGGTAACGGATAGAATACACTTACTTTACATATATGAGCCCATTAATGTCTCCCTTTACCTCGCAATATAAAAATGCAAAAAATATCTGTGTCCACCAACAAAGAGTCGTGCGAAAATGACAAAAAGAGTAAAATTAGCTCTAATTTGAAGGTGAAAATCAATACTCCGGAACTCTTTCTCGATGGAAAAGCAATCCTATTTTATGTAAATGAAAACCCCGCTAGATTTCCCTCGTTCATTCCCCTTTGGCGGTGGAAAGTGGGCTTAATTTGTGATTGATGATTTCAAAAAATAAACATTATAAAAAAACAAACAAATATTTTTAGAATTTTAAAAAAAAGTAGCGCATATGCGTTTCATTTTGTTTCATTGACTAAAAACACACAGAAACAACAATTCTCGGAATCAATAAAGACAATAACGGCGATATTATGTTCTCGATAATGATTCAAAGAACATCTTGTGCGCGGAGCAATAGAATAATATTATGTTACACGGTAAAAAAAAGTGATAGCCCGTGGGATCATGTCACTTCACCTCACGGGTCAGCTCATATTCGACGAGAGGCAAACGATGAAAAGGTCATTGGAAATCATATCAAGTATCAATTTCGACTGTATGCTAAATAGAACAAGATTAATTTTGGCTTATTGAATCACTCGGTCTGAATTTTTTCGAATTAAAATGTATCCTAAGGCGTTGAGCAGACGACGGGGCGGGGCGGGCATTTTGTCCGCGAAGCAATCAAGACCGCGTCTGCCCGTCGATGTCTGCGGCTGCCCGCGCCGCGTACACAAAGCACACGACGGGCAGATAGTACAGTCAATCTGTAGGAAGAGTGGTGAAAAAAAAAACCTAAAGGGTAAGTCTTGTTTTTTCTGTTGCCAAATGACGTCAGTAAGCCACCTTAGCGATGGGCATGTTCAACTCGTAGGCGTTTTTTGAAAAACTAAAAAAAAACCGTCAAAAATTTTTTGAAACGCATTTTTCTTGTTTTGTATGCATTTTAGAAACTTTTTTTTCGACCATAATTGTAGAGGGCGTTGAGTACTACAATTTATGTCAGTGTTGCAATCTCGTACAACAAAAAATGCGCATTGTAGGTGGCGCTAAAGTCTCAAAAAAAGTGTTTTTTCACTTTTTCACCCTGAAAATATCATTTTAATGGAAAACTTTAAATGGCTAAGTTGTATCGTACATAATTACCAACAACTTTTGTATAAACAATTTTTTTGTATTACTTACCGTTTTCAAGTTATAAATTGCGCAGGTATGAAAAATCCAATAGAGCGGTTTTGGGCAGTTCAAGTACACATTTGCAGTGCACATTTCTATGTAAGTTTTTACTATTTTTTTTTCAATCATGAAAAAAAATAAAAATACATCTACTTTTTTTCATTTTTTTTTGTTTTTCAATCATGAAAAAAAATAAAAAATAGTAAAACGTACATTGAAATGTGCATTGCAAATGTGTACTTGAACTGCCCAAAACCGCTCTATTGGATTTTTCATACCTGCGCAATTTATAACTTAGTTAGTTAGTGTCAAACTTATACTTATTAAGATTTCTTGTAAGAGTAAAATAAACTATTAGAAACTGTTTTGAAATGAGTGTTGTGACGTTTGAATTTTTGGCACTTTACTTTGCTATTCATTTTGCTATTAGACTACGATAAATCTATCTTTTTCATGCTTTATATGAAACGACAAGGGCAGACTGACGTCAAGTTTCTTCTTCTTTTATAATAGCATGACGGCTAATGCTTGTCAAAGTTTACAAACAGCAATCACGAACAGCTAAGTGAAGTTCCGGTAATATAAATAACAAAATACAATTGTATTATACAGCCATGTACTAAGAATTTTTCGTTCCGTTTTCATTGCGGTAATTACCGGCTTTTATTTAGTCTGCGTGAAATGAATAAAATTTTATATTTCGTATTAAACTGGTAACATCGGTGACGAACGATTCAAATATACGGAAAATCAGTATCATGCGACTTGAAAGTCGAAGGTGACCTAGGTATGTCGCATTCGACGATACTATGTCAGATGAGTGATTCAAAAATAGAGCTCCTTGAACCTTTCTTACCGACAGAAACACAACACCACCAAAAGGTAGTGTTATTCAACTGTGATCTACTGTAAAGTTAACTACCTTCTTCCCTATACAAGCGCTCCAATTTGAGCGGAGTGTCCGTTATGCCCATAGAACACAGAAACCTCTTTCTATGATCACAAAGAGAAATGATTATAAACGCCCGCACACGGGCTACACGCCACAGCCACAAACGCCGCCACGAGAAGCTAGAAGCGGCTACTAAAGTGGCTGAAGTGCGCGACAGCGGCCGACTAAGGTAAGGGAGAGACGGGTGGGGAATCGCGCGAGTGACGTGTGGCGGCGTTTTGTATCGGCGCATTGAGTGGCCGATGCGGGCCACAAGAAGCGAGCAACGACGATTTGTAGCGTGTGGCGGCCACTGGCGTACCGTGTGTGGCGAGTCCATATAAAGTATATGAAAAATACAAGAAATATGACGATGGCGGCGTTTTGTGGATGTGGTCGGTGGTCCGTGTCCGACGACACTGAGATTTCAAGGAAAATATATTGTAGAGCACATAATGTGTCTAAGGCCCGCATTACAGAATGACAACTAAGTGTTGATCTTTACTTGAATACAGTTAGAAAGGGATGTCGCTATGTGCTATATATAGCGACGTCCCTTTCTATCTATGCTCAAGACTAGATTCATTACTGAGAATCTTTCTATAATACGGGCCTTAGTAGTAGTGTGAAATCTCTAAGCATTGTTAAAAGATTGTATTTGCTATTATCCCACGAGATCAAAAGGAGAATGTTAACTTTTAGTAATTCTATTTGCCTCACTCAGGTACATATCTTAGTAAATCACCAGACAAGAAAATTTCCACATAAAATCCAACAATGCTACGTGTATTGTTATAAAGATACAACATGTTACTTTGATGAAAACATGTCTTAAAAGGGTAACATTTATTTATATTATTAAGATAATTAAGTACCTAATCATTTATATACAGTTTAAACGAATTTATACATCACGAGGTGTTTTGGTAAGTATATTTTTCTTGATTGAATAGGTTTATAAATATAACACGTAACTGGTTAAAACGCGTACTTTATTAAAGGCTTCTTTGGGATAAAAAAATTATGAAAACCTTTTATTTCAAAGTGTTTCAAAGTTTGAAAGCGTTAATTTAGATTTATGTTTGTATTCCAAAATCTTATGGTTTCGGGATGTTTTCTGTGATGGCTCTTAGTTTGATAGCACTCAACATTGAAGAGTCTCCAATATGAAAAAAGTTTACAGCTCAAATATTTATTTATCTGTCACAAATCATGAACAGATTCTGCAAAAATAAACGACAAGATATTTTAAGGGTAGATAACCTTAAAATATTTTGAAAGGTTTGATATAGGTATGCGCTGACAAAGGGTTTTGAAGGGGTTCAAAGTTTATGTGAGAAATGATGTTTCTACGCAAACGAAGTCGTGCGCACCCACTAGTAAATCTTATAAAAACAAAACATTGTGTTCCCAAGGGGCCATTTTTATTAAGGGAATCAAGGGAAGGTCACAGTTTTATTGAGATTCAAAAAATGGACGCCTCATTTGGTGTAATGCTATTACCAGATTATCCAGAAGGGCATCGACTTTGACACACTGACAGTTTTCGAAGCAAGAATTATTAGAAAAAATAAAAATTGTTTACGCGATCTACGACTTTTATTGCCAGAAGAGGCTGTAGAATAGTAAATAAAATATGTTTCCTAGGTCGCACTGAGGGTACGTATAAACGTAGTCAATTTTTATTAGAACGAAGTTCCTTTTCCGTAGATATGGCGAATGGGGGCTAGCCGATGCAAGATTTTTTTATGTTAATACGCCAATTTGGGCGTAAATGTTGGTCTTGGCAAGATTTTGTTTTTTGTAGTAGTTTCCCCTCCACTTATGGTTGTTTTCAATGGTAGTTTCTTACGGTAGTTACCTAAATTATTAGTTTTTTCGTCCATGGTAGTGTTCTACGGTGGTTTTCTCCCTTCCATGGTAGTTTTTACTAATTATTGGTAGTCTTTTTATGATAAATTCCCAACGATATATCTTTGTAGATTCCTGCGCCAATGGTAGTTTTTTTATAAAGGTTCTTTTTTAAATGTATTTTTATTATTATTTATTTTAATGTAATTTTTGTTTTGCTTTAACTAATTTTAATATGGATCTCGTGTCTGAAATAAATGTTTTTTTTTTATTTTTATTATAATGGTCGTTAACTTTCCCTTATGTTATATTATTTTTAAATTCGTTCCAACCAAGTCTTCTACGACACTCGCATTTGCTTTTTATATGGTTTATTTCTTACTAGCGGCCGCCCGCGACTTCGTCCGTGTTACCTTCGGTTTTGTTTTCCACATGAACGTAACATTTATCCGGGATAAAAAAATATCCTGTCTCAATCCAGGTCATAAAGTATATGCGTACCAAATTTCATCCAAATCATTTGAATATTTTTTAACATTCAAACTTCCACATTTATTAAAATACTAGCTGTGCCCCGCGGTGTTACCCGCGGTTTTTAGGGTTATTTTCC